TAACGTAACGATGTTATACACTTTCACTCAAGAAACGATATTAGGAATGCTAATATTTCATAAAACATAGAAAGAAAAAAAAATCTTTGGGAAAAAAAACTTGTTCTGTGTGTATGATAATTGAGAAACTTATGTTGTTAATGTGCTCGAGTAATTAGTCTTAACACGCTGCGGATAGTCTGTAAAAAAAAGATATTTGAAACTTAAAAAATAAAAAACTATATTAAATAAATAAGAAAGTCCTGCTACTCAAGAAAAAGCTGCGGTGAAGGCAAAAAAAAAAAAAAAAAAAATAGCCCGTAGCTAGAAAAAAATTAAAAACTCTCTTTTGTTAATGAAAAACTTTTTTTACTATAAATATATGCTGCAGCTGTCTTTTAAAACGCATAAATATGCTTATTATGTAATTCGAGAAAAACGCAATTAAAAAAAAAATATATTAAAAGTTAACTCTTTGTTAATTGTTTTTTGACGCGTTTAATTTTAATTAATTTTTTCAGTACTAGTTGAAAATATTTATTCAGTAACGTTTTATAGACAAATAAAATAGCGCATTTTGTAAAAATGTCAAAAATGATATTTTTAACCTTAAGGTGGTAGACCACTATTAAAAATCAAAGAAATCATTTTTTCAATTATAACTTTTTTAAGTAATATAGCTATCGCAAATTCCGAGTTTCAAAAATAGCTAACACCATTAAAAACCATTTTTTAATAAAACGGTATAAGTAAATTTTTATATTTTCCCATAGCAACGCTTTGTTTATTCCGTTGCTATACAACTAAAAAGGAAATTGTATCATATTTATAGTATATATTTTTAATATAAAATAATTGCAACTCTAAAGTTACATTTTGTTTATTGATTTATACTTTTGGTGCATTTGGCTACATGAGTTTCATTGAAATTTCCAACTATAGTTGCTGTTTTCTGTATCATTTTAAATTTATCCTATCACTTTGATTAAATAATATTAGTAATGGAAAGTAATGGAAAAAATAAAAGAAAAAAGAAATAAAGCAAGGCATAGAAAAATATTTGTTTCAACTTATCAAAGAAAACCAAAATCAATCAACAAACAATGCAGCTAAAGAAATTGTATCTAACTTGCATGAACTAAAATTTGAATGTAGCATAGCAAAAAAAGTTTTAAATGGACATGTGTACATCCATATCCAGCAGTAAATAATCTGTAAAATTTTTAAGTAAGAGTTTTTTAAATAAAAATTATAGTTCTTCTTATTACGATCAGTTCAATGTTACAAACGACTGCTACATATTAATAAACACCAACATGGTGAGCGAAAGATACTATGGCTCGAAATGATGTTTTGATTGTTCAAAAAACGAAAACCTGATATATTACTGATTTGGGGAGAAATGTAGGAGAGTGTTTTTACATTAAAAAATTTAGGGATAACATACAAGGAAATGCTGCTACATAGACTGAGGGTTTGGGTTAAAGAAGGTATAGATCAATCGATGTAGCAGCATTCTCCTACATTTCTTCCCAAATCAGTAATATATCTGGTCTTTGTTTATAAAAAAAATCAAAACCTCATTTTGAGTCATAGTATATTTCGCTTACCCACCAACATATGAGATGGAATAATGGCTGCCATTGTTTGCTATAAAAAACTTCCTAAAATGAAAATTTAAAATTATAAATTTTTATGATGCTCAAAAAGATATGGCTTATAAAACTGTCTCCTAATTTTATTCAGAAGTTTTATTCTACCAAAATTATAAACAAACCAGCAGCAATGAATTTTTAATGTTTAATTATGTACAATATTAGTTTTTTGAAAAATAGGTAAAGAATACTGTAGTATTGAAAAGTTTTGTGGTTTAATGAACATGTTTAATCCTATAAAGAAATTTTTTAACTACTTAAACAAAGAAATTATAAAAGTTACATAGTTGAAAAGAAGCTCTAAAAATAAGTTTATATTCTGAAAATAAAACTATAATAAAAACACAGTAGTTAATGAGGATATTTCTTATACTTTTAGTTTATATTTATATATTTTTAATTTTTTATATATTTAGTTTATATATATATACTTGATATTTATTTACTAGTGATAACTATTGGCTTAAAACTGATAGGAGTTTTTATTTGAAACTAAATTAAAATTAAAAGTGAGACTTTTTTTTAATGAAATCTAACTTTGAAAGTAATAATGCCTGTAAATAAAACCTGTCTTTTAAAACAATTTTTTATAATTTTTTCTATTTTTACTCCACAACACTTTTAATATAAGTTGATATTTGTCAATAGGCTATTTACGTGGGTTTTTAATATTTGTTTGAAAAATTTTATGCTTTTTTTTTGTTTAAATGTGTTTTTCTCAGATCTCTAAAATTCAGGACGTTGCGGTGAATATCTCACAATTTTTTTAATCAATTTCCATGAAACTTTTAGTTGTTCTTTTTGTTGTTATGTATGTCCCTATCACATTAACGACAATACGATAATCCAATTAAAAGATATTAAAGCCCAAATATGGTCAAAAATGCATTATTTTTTGATCGTCAAGTATTTTTCTTATAAAAAAATCTGTTCGGTAAATTTTCTTGATTTTGGTGCAAGATTTTCTTTATTGTATGTACTTTAAAAGTAAATTTAAAAAATTTCAAGTTATTAGCTTTAATAGTTTTTGAGATAATCACCGCAACGAAACAATGATATTTTTGGGTTCCTGGGACCAAATTTCTTTAATCAAAAAAAATTTTGACTTTTTTTTTTTAATTTTGTCATTCAAGAGCAAATTTTAGTCAATTTAGATGTAAATAGTATTGAAAATGTAATTTTTGAAGGATTTGATTAAATTAGTGGTCTACCACCTTAACGCGTTTTGAAAAACGGCTGCAGTCTGAATAATAAAACGATTATGTTAAAATGAGATAGATTGACGCAAAATATGAAAGCTCTTAACAAAAGTTACTTAGCCAAAAAAATTAGTAATAATTGCTTAGAAATTTTATTATAGTAAAAATTTTGATTTTAGTGAATAATAGCTGTGAATAATATATATATATATATATATATATATATATATATATATATATATATATATATATATATATATATATATATATATATATATATATATATATATATATATATATATATATATATATATATATATATATATATATATATATATATATATATATATATATATATATATATAATATTAAATATACATATATATATAAATAAATGCATACATATATATACCAGCTGTATACCATGTATAATCCAAGTTGGCGGAATACCAACTGTAGCGTCCTAGTCAGCGACTTTCGGGGACGTTTTTTTTCTTCCTATTCTGACGGGTTTTTTTACTTTTTTATGGTGATTTATTCATATTTTTACATTTTTTTAATTTTTATTTCATTTCTTTTTTTATTTATACACATCTAAATATATGAATTTATTATAAAAAAAATTTTTTATATTAACTTTTGTTATTTTTCTTTTATTTATTTTATATTATATTTCATTTTTAACTTCAACTATTTTCAAAAACGATTATTTACAATAATATAACGAAATTAAAACTTTGCCATAACCCTAACCCTAGACCTGAACTTGATGCCTGGCCAAAGCAAACCCTCAGTAGATGTAGCAACATTTCCTTGCAAGTCAGGTTATTTGTCATTCGATGTCTGTACTTTTTGTTCTCTATAATAATTTCTTACAGGCACATTTTTTACAAAAACAAATTATGCCTACGAGGACAAAAAATTAACGGGTACACTTAATTGTCCCTAATAATGCTAATTTGCCTATAAGTGTTCGTTATTTTGTGAAATCTGTCCCCATAAGTGCGAAACTATACAATTATATATATATATATATATATATATATATATATATATATATATATATATATATATATATATATATATATATATATATATATATATATATATATATATATATATATATATATATATATATATATATATATATATATATATATATGTATATATATATATATAATTCATAAACTTTTGCAGTTAAAGTTCAAATAAGTTATAAACTTGTGTTTTTACTTAAAAACACAAGTTTGTTACGAAAATCAGAAAAGCTAACTAATTTTTAATTTAACAAAAATTCTAATATTTAAATTCTCTTAATACAAAAAACGTTTTTTCAATATAGACACTTAAACAAAAATGCAAGAATTTTTTTAAGTAGACGTATTAAATGGATCTTTAAAATGCCTTTAAAATCTTTTTATAAAGTTATAAAAGTGGCGAGCAGATTAAAAGATCAAAATTAGAAAGTGGTATTTCAAACCAATTAAAAATGTCTTTACAAATTACTTAAACAATAAACATTACTTATGCATAATTTTTCATTATTCTTATATATATATATATATATATATATATATATATATATATATATATATATATATATATATATATATATATATATATATATATATATATATATATATATATATATATATATATATATATATATATATATATATATATATATATAAATATATATATATATATATTTATATATATATATATATATATATATATATATATATATATATATATATATACATATATATATACATATATATACATATATATATATATATATATATATATATATATATATATATATATACATATATATAGTTGCAATATTCATGAAGTTTTTCAGTTAAAGTTCAATTATTTGGTTTTTACTTAAGAACACATATTTGTTTCATAAGTCATAAAATGCTAATTTGTTTTAATTTAATTAATATTTCTGGTATTTAAACGTTTAATGAAAAAAACTTTTTTTCAAAATAGACACTTAAACAGTAATGCAATTATCTTTTTAAGTAGACGTATTAGATACAGCATTAAAACGCCTTTAGAATATTTTTATAAAGTTATAAAAGTGGCGACAAGATTAAAAGAGCAAATTTAGAAAGCGGTTTTTCAAACCATAAAAAAATGTTAAAATCACCTTAACAATATACAATACCTAAGCTTAAGTTTTTATTTAATATTAAAGAAAGCTCAAACAAAGCCATGCTTTAAAAAGAGAAACTCGCTTGATTAATGGTTAACGCCGATTTTAGTAAACAAGTTTCTAAAATGAAAATAATATTCTGCCTAATATTAGTTCCAACTGGTAAGTAATTTTTTCAATCAAATTCAAGTACATTGAGTTTATTTTCTTTAATTTTTTTTGTTCCTTTTTCAATTGTTTTACAATCTTAGCTTTTTTAAAACTCATTATAATTTCAAAAACATAATGAAATGTTTACAAATACATTAACTTTATGACTAGCTGATCTGATCCGTAAAAATACGAGTCTGTATAAGTATACTCCGCACTGAACTTTTTATAATTTTTTCTTATAAATATCTTTATATATATATATTAGGGTGGAGTGATTTGCATACTTTTTCGGAAGTTCAACTTTAGTAACCCGGGAGTAAGTTCAACAGGGTAAAATATGAGCTCATAAAAAATTTCAGCTCTCCAAAATAAAAAATAGCAAGCTTAATCGACTTGCAAAATGCAAAAAAAGCAAAAAAACGCAATTTTTCTTAATTTTCACGTTTTTTATACAATTTACGAAATCAATTAATAAAAAAGTCAAACCAGTCAAAAGTTTTTTTTTTAATTATATTAATTCATTATAAAACGGTCAAATAAATTAATAATAAATTATAAAAATTTTATTTAATATAATGGTATATAAGAAATATACGCATTTAAACATTTAATTTATTTTTAGCTAGTTTTTATAACTCATTTAAACGCATAACTATTAATATAAAATACAATCAAGTTTTGAACGGCAAACTTAAAATTACTTATATAACTAAACTGTATATACAAAGTTTACCTATGTAAGTCATTTTTAGATTTTTAAGGCAAAATTAGTTAAAAATTATGTATAATTATATACTAAAGAATTTAGATAATTATAGTTATACAGGTCTTGAAAGTGCTTACAAACAACTTGAGTAATTTTGACCTCAAGATTATCCAAGATGTAAGTAATTAATAATTACCAGATATGAATAAAGGATTAATAAATTGAACAATTTATTATTCCTTTATTCATAAAGGATTAATAAATTGTACCAATTACGTTTAAAGTATTTTGACTAAATACTTTAAACGTAATTGGTACGTGTACCCATTTCGTTTAAAATATCTAGCTAATCGTGAATTCAGATAAGGCTGAAGCATTACACTATTTGCAAAAATCTTCAAAAATTATTTCTATGACCCCTAAAGTACTTAATTTTTTATTCAAAAACAGTGATTATTACAGTGATCAACTTAATAAACAGGTAATAAAAAAAGCCATGGATACCCATCACCAAAATCGGAACATGTTTTTAAACATTTTTTTTTTTTAATTGTTTTTAACACTATAAGCTTAAATTTACGAATATAAATGTTTATCAAGATTTCAATTGCCGAAATTGAAATCTTGATAAACACTTATATTCGTGACACAATTTCAAAAGGCGAAATATTTCTAAAATAAATACCTTACAAATGTGAGTCGAACACTTTACCACTACCCTACTACTGCATTGATCCTAAATCCTAAACACACTTTTATATTCCTCGCATTAAAAAAGTAAGTACATTTATATAAATATGTTTTATTAACATCAAATGCATAACAATAATAATTATTAAAAAACGACAAAATCGTTTTTAGTTTTAAAATATGTTCGTAATTCCAATGATTTTAGTTTAGTTAAAATATATTTATGACGAGCTTCCTGCCATATACTTGGTGACTAGCCTCTGTAACTTATTTGACAGTACGTTCTACGCTCTGCGCGTGAGAAGGAAATTCAGGTAAGTTCGGAACTACTTTAGTTGCAATTAGTGCATCAATTTTGTCATCCTTCAACCATATTGTTGATACCGGTTTTCTTAAAGTCAATTAATTCTATCCAAGAAGTTGCTTGAAAGTTTATCTCAACATTAGCAATATTTGTAATACGGCACTCTTTATTTTTACTTGTCCTGAGTTTTATAATGACTAGTAACGCCTGTTCCCTTATGTTTTAGATTCTTCATCTCTAAGCATACAATATAAAAAGTTCGCTAGCAATAGACAATATGAACTTTTTTTTAGATTTTGAAAACAAATGTTTTGTATTTCTTCATCTTGCTTCCTTATCTGTTTTGCCATTTTAAAGAATATACTTGGAGAATCCATAAATTTAGAAGACCTTTTGATAAGAAACCAAGTGTATGCATACACTTGTACAATAAACTTTACAAGCCTTACATGATCAAGACTTGGTGCTTCAGAACGAGTATACAAAGCCATGACTCAAATTGCTAAAGTCAACCATCTTTCGTTGTTTAGTGGACCAATTTTTCTTCTAAAAAATTATGTTATTGACAAATCCTTTAGAATTTCCAAGACAATATTCAAATAATAGTCTTTGATCGTGGCTTAAATCATTTATCACTTCAATGGGAATATTTAGTATCTCTACTGAAGTATCAATTTTGGTAAACTTCACTTGTGGGTTAAGATGGAAATCTATAGAAACTTGCTTTCGAATAGGTCCTGAAAGTTTATTTGGACACTTTGAACTGCCATCAACTATTTTGAATACTTTTCAAAATGGAAGTTCATTGTGATGCAAAGTACAACCGATAAGGTGTATTTTTCTTTCTAATTTCTTTTCTAAACATGCAACAATTCCAGTTTTGAAACCTGTATTGACATTTGTATTATCAAGAAGAAGAGCTTATACTGAATTTAAACTATCATACTCTTTCAGAACATTATATACAATTTCACTTTGAAGCAAACCAGTTGCACCATTTGATGGAAGATTTTTATGAGAGAGATATGAACCATTTTTAAAACTATTTTCATTAGTAAAAGTTAAATGATGTTCTTTTTCAGTAACTTTCGACAAGCGAGTTTTTCCATTTTCAATGAAATTCTTAAACTGAAGAACATTTTTATCATCTTTACCATCAACACCCAAACACACCAAGTTACTTAAATTATTATCATGTTGATTACCATATCTTGATATTACTTTTTTCTTCTCTTTATAAAACAACTCAAAGTATTATATTTAGCTAAATATCATATTAAATGTTTTGTAAATGAGCATTTATATAAATTATTAAATAAAGAGATATATTTATATTTGTCTAAATTAAATAATGAAATAGTATTTACCTCTCAATTTTGCTTCGATCTACAACTTGGTTCAAATCTCCATATTTAATGATTCCAAAATCTAGAAGTAGAGCATTTGCGAGTGCAGCTGCAGCACGAGACATCATACCTACATGCAGCAGATGAGACATCATACCAACAAATAAGAAACTATAAAATAAATAAACAAATCTGAAAAAGCAAAGTATATTACCTATATGTGATCCTTTAACATTCTATATTCACCCTCCCATATTAAATAAAAACTTACTGGGAATGAAAAATGTTGTTTGTTTTTTTTTCACACTTTTAATATAATATATATTTAAAAAATTCTTATCTAAACTCAATATGTATAAAATTTTTATATACCTGACAGCCTCTATTGCAAATCTATCAAGTTTCATTAAACTATATTGAGAACATTTTACTGGATTATATTCTTTCTCAGAATCATTTACCTGTAAAAATACTTAGTATTAAAAATATGAAAAAAAAGTCATATATCTCAAGCAGCATACTTTGTAGGACCAACATTTCAAAAACGTTTAAATTGTTGAAACAAAGCTATTTTAGCGTTGCCGGGCAACAGTTGACCCAACAAAGTGTGCTGTTTGTGATATATATGTATATATATATATATATATATATATATATATATATATATATATATATATATATATATATATATATATCTACACATATATATATATATATATATATATATATACAAATATATATACATATATATATATATATATATATATATATATATATATATATATATATATATATATATATATATATATATATATATATATATATATATATATATATGTATATAAATGTATATATATATATATGTATATATATATATATGTATATATATATATATATATATGTATATATATATATATATATATATATATATATATATATATATATATATATATATATATATATATATATATATATATATATATATATATATATATATATATATATATATATATATATATATATATATATATATATATATATATATATATATACATATATAATAATACAAACACATCTAATTTTTATTTATATTCTATTATTTTATTTATATTATAGTCAGGAAGCTTCCTGATGAACTTACTGATGGTGGCACAAGTTATTTAAGAAAAAAAATTAGATGAGTGTTTTTACAAATTTATTATTGCTCTGATCTTTAACAACATTAAGCACTTTTTAGGACCAATCTTGCTTCTCTGGTCACAAACATATGCCCTGTCTTCAAAAGGGAACTTAAATACAATTATTGAAAATAATCAACTACTTCAGTTTAATTGAAGTGAAATAATTATGTATAATTAATAAATAGTTGCAGATTAAAACAACAAATATTTTAGTATATACAATAATATATAAAAAATGTAATCAAATACCTTTCTAGTTTTACAAAGACACAAGATGTGCTCTGCTTGGCAATTGATGATGCTACACTTAACATCTCTGTCATTACATAACACAGTTGTAATTCACAATTACACGATGAAATATCAAAGCGTTTATCTAAAATCAAATCTTGATACTCCTTACTTTTAGATTTACAACGTCCTCGGTTTATAGACTTTACTCTTTCAAAAAGATTTCGTAATTTTCTGAATATATATATATATATATATATATATATATATATATATATATATATATATATATATATATATATATATATATATATATATATATATATATATATATATATATCTATATATCTATATATATATATATATATATATATATATATATATATATATATATATATATATATATATATATATATATATATATATATATATATATATATATATATATATATATATATATATATATATATATATATATGTATATATATATATATATATACATATATATATATATATATATTTTTATATATATATGTATATATATATATATATATATATATATATATATATATATATATATATATATATATATTTATATATATATATATATATATATATATATATATATATAAATATATATATATATATATATATATATATATATATGTATATATATATATATATATATATATATATATATATATATATATATATATATATATATATATATATATATATATATATATATATATATATATATATTTATATATCCTAACTTTTCAGACCCATAAAAAACGGGTCTTTATCAAACCTATTTTTTTTATACTCATCTATTTTACACGGATCATTTTTATACCTATTATTTGTTTACATCAATATTTATATAACGTGAAATGTTTCACTTTTAAAAATTGATTTTGAAGCGAAAAAATTAAAATGCGCAACCTTTTAGCATATGTAGAGCTTACAGAAAATTTATAATTATGTTTGCTTTTCTCGTAAAAGCATGTCATTGATAGTTCAGTGGTGTAGTGCGCTGTTACCAATTTCGCTTTAGAGGAATAAAAATATATTTTAATAACTCTTAAAACTTTATCAATGTTAGTGTATTTATAGCATTATACTTAGCAAAATTATAATATTGTAAAAAAGATTTCTAACAGTTATACTTCTTAGTTTTACTATACAAAGAGTGGAAATAAGAAAATTATTTACCATTTTAAAATTAACTTATAAAACGGTTAGGGGTGGTCCATAAAGTACGAATCACTTAATTTTTTTTTTCAAAAAAGAAGATGGAGATTTTTAGTTCTTTTAGATAGCGATTTCATTAACTTAATAAGCTGTTTTTGATCTTTTTAGTTATATTAATGAAATTTAGCGTTATATAATTTATGGACAATCGCCTATTTAAAAATTTTGGTTAGGGATCGCTAAAAAAGAATAGGAAGACAAAATTTAATGGAGTATCATGTTAATTTGATGGTTATTAAATGTCGATCGTTGTTGCGCACTTGGTGTAAATAATTAACGGAGCCGTAGAAAAACAGATGTAAAAATCTATATAAACCTATATAAATTTGTCCCATATAAACTTGTTGTATATTCATTTATCTCTCACAAACTCAACCTGGTTGTAAAAAAACTTAAAATGAAAAACTAAAATAATATTAAACAATAAAGAATCTCATTCATGAAACATATACAAAGAATATCCGCCGTTTTAATTATGTTTAGAGTTTTTGGCTTTTTTAAAGATCTTTTCCTTTATTAAAGTGGATACTAATAATAGATATGTTTGTATGTAATCTCTGTAAAACTTGACAAGTATATGTTACTTGGAATTTACTGGATTGTTTAGATTATTTTAAGTATTTTAAAACTTAAATTATGTTGCAAGGTTTTATAAGTGAGAAATATATTATTTGGTTAAAAAAATAGTCAATTAAATAAAAGTATTCATATTTTGAAAGAATTTTTTTTTAAAAAATATATATTTTATAATAATTTTGCTTCCCACGTTACCTATTAGCTTTAAACATAAGAAATCTTTAATCTAATAACCTAATTAATAATGCATAAAACAGACCTGTTTTGTTTATAATTACATATATATATATATATATATATATATATATATATATATATATATATATATATATATATATATATATATATATATATATATATATATATATATATATATATATATATATTATATATATATACATACATATATATATATATATATATATATATATATATATATATATATATATATATATATATATATATATATATATATATATTTATATATATATATATATATATATATATATATATATATATATATATATATATATATATATATATATGTATATATATATATATATATATATATATATATATATATATATATATATATATATATATATACATAAATATATATATATATATGTATATATATATATATATATATATATATATATATATATATATATATATATATATATATATATATATATATACATATATTAAGGTGTATAATTAATTAACATTTGCAGATAAAGTTCAAATGAATTATAAACTCTTTGTTTTAACTTAAGTACACAAGTTTGTTACGTAAGTCATAAAAAGCAAATTAATTTTTTATAATGATAATGTTTCTAGTATTAAATGTTTTAACAAATCAATCGTTTTTTAAAAATAGATACTTAAGCAGCAATGCAATTATCTTTTTAAGTAGACGTATCTGATGGAGCATTAAAATGCCTTTGGAATCTTTTTATAAAGTTATAAAAGTTGCGACCAGATTTAAAGAGCAAAATTACAAAGCGGTTTTTCAAACTATTTAAAAATCACTTCAACAATAAACTTAAAAAACCTCAACAATAAATTTCAGAATCACTTTAACAATAAACAATACTTAAGTCAATATTTTCAAATAATATAAATAAAAGCTTAACAAAAGCAAAGCTTTAAAAAATCGTTTGATTAATGGTCAACTCCGAAACTGGTAAACAAGTTTTTAAAATGAAAACATTATACTGTCTAATATTAGCTCCAACTGTTAAGTATTTATTTTAATTAAATTCAAGTACACTGACTTTACTATCCTTTATTTTTTTTGTTCCTTTTTAAATTATTTTACAATATTAGCCATTGTATAATTATTATAATTTAAATAATATAGTAAAATGTTCACCAATACAATAATATTATGACTACCCAATTTTATTCATCTAAAAGAGTATCTTATAGATAAATAAAACTGTCGATAGTTAAAAAGTAACATTATTTTAAAACTATTTTGCTCGATAAAAACATTAGAAAAACTGTATACAAAAAAAGGTTGTTGGATTAATTTTTTTTTCGTAAAAAGTATTTTTTTAAATTTTTTATGTGAGTAAACGATAAAAAAGATAAAGAAAAGCGTTAGTTTTACATTTATATACAAAGCAAAGAATATTATAAATATTAGACTGATACACATCATGATTATTTATTTTAAGTAAAAAAGGCTTGCCATGTGTAAAACGGTCTTTAAACTTTATAAGAAGTACAATGTGCTTCTATTGACTAAAAATTTGTCTACTCATAAATGAACTTCTGTTTTCTTTATTTTCTTAGTGTTATCTTTGCAATGTTATAATAGTTATACCGCAAATCCACCGTTAGAAGATCAAGATGAATTATCAAAGTCGATTAGTGGAATACCAGATTTCAATGATTTAAAAAGCATCACCTGCCAATCCTGTTTATCAATAAAGCTTAAAAATTTTAAATTTATTGATGATACACCTCGTTCAGTATCAGTGCAATCTTGTCTGCCCATAAACACTTGCAGTGTATCATTATGTGATATTTATAAGAGACGTAATGTAGATTGTGAGGTAAGTTGTTATTATCTCAGAAGCCATTAAAACAGATTTTTGCAACGAATAACTTTCAGATATATAGAATCATGGTTCAGCATTATAATAATTCTTATCTCCGGTAGGCTATATATACCAAAACATAATGTAACGATATTAAGAATACTATTATTAACAGTAATAGCGTCATTAACAAAAAGCAGCAGCAGTATTAATATTAATAGCATCTATAATAAAAAGAAGCAATATTATCAACATTTATAATAGCATTAATAGTAATAATAATAATAATGATAGTAATGTTAAAAATAAAAATAATGATAAAAATAATAACATTAACAGTAATATTAATAATAAAATAACTAGTAGTTAGCAACCCGTAATACGGGTTATTGGTAATTAAATCATTGCTTATAGTTAACGACAAAATAAGACTACATTAACATCAGTTAAGTTCTTTTTCAAATCTGTTACAACACAGCACGTACCATGAAAAGAAAGTCAAGTGAAGCCTTCCAACGCCTAAAAAAAGAAATAAAAAATAATAACAATTTTTAATTACAAAAGTATTATTTGCGTTTATTCTTAGTAGAATTAAAATATAAAGACTTGAAAAAATTGTAGTAAAAGCCCTGTTCTATCAACACAAAACACAGTAACAATAGCGCGTAGCATAAGATATTTTAAACACGCATTACTATATCTCTCCTAAATAATAATAAAAAAAAGATTATAAAAAGGCTAGACAACTTAACGCAGTAAATAACGTAATAACGTATAACACCACAAAATAATATTTTAATAGATATTTTATATTTTAATTAAGATAATATAAGATAATTTATTTACTAAAACAATTGAACAAAAAAGATTTTATTGATTACAATATCAAACAGTTATATCAAAAAATAGCAAGCAGCTCATAAAATGTTTATATACATGGTAATTATCAATTGTGGTATTAAGAAACTTATTAGGGCTCAGTAAATATATAAGTTTTATTGATGCTCCATATACTAATTCTTACTTAACTCTCATCTAAGAGTAAACAAAATTATTTTTACTTTTATTATGTAAAGTTCCAGCTTCTCTTTAACTGTCGACTAATGATTAATAGAGTAAATTTCATATCATTGAATTTACAAAATTAAAACCTGTTCAAACAGTAAAAAAACTAATCAAATGGTAACAAAGACAACTAAAAAAAAGAACATAATTATTTTTGAGTTCATAAAAAAATTCAAAATCATTTAAAATTATTTAAATTTAAGTTGTATTAAGGTGTTTAAAGTAAAGTTAAATAAACAGGCAATAACACGGCTTGACACTGAATTTTAGCAAGTAAGTTTTCTTCTCGTCGAGCAACATATTGTTTGCTTTTATTATTAAAATATTAGCCATATCAGTTTCACTGTATTCATTAAAAATATTACTAGTAATATTACTATTGTTACAACTGAATAAAAAAGTTGTAAAAGAATCTTAAAAATTGTGATCTTTTCTAATCTATATTTTAAAGATTATATTTTTACTTTAGATTAATTAAAACCCGTATCTTTTTTTAGGTTTATATATATAAGTTGTTTATCAAAAATATAAAACAATATTTATATACATCAATAAGTTGTAACTTAACAAAAAATCTAAACAACAATACATATAGGGCCGGGTTAAGTACCTCTTGGCCTCACGACATTTTAGGTTATCTTGCCCCTGTTGGCCTCCTAGTATTCAAATTTAACAGCGGTAAATATTTAAAAATTTAGTAATTATTGCGCTATGGCTTTGCAATGTATTTTTTTTTTGTATTAAAACAAGCATCTCGCAATATTTATTATTAAAAACACGCTTCAATTAGTATAGATTTTAAAACACGTGTCTGCATTTTAAGCTTTCAAATGCAGATATAATATCTTTAGATCCAATACCCGGTTTTCTATATTAACAATAAAAAAATCTGAAAGTTCCTGAAAATAAGCTCAAAAATTAAGACAATCGTTCAATAAGTGAAAGTTAAGATCAGAAGGATATCAGTCAATAATTTTTTGTGCATTACAATTAACCTCCGAGATATCCAATATATGGAGGTTTACAAGAAAACCAAACAAAGTATTCAATCCAGTATATACTATCTTTTTTCTATCTAGATCATTTATTAGTTTGTCCGTGATCTCATTAACGTCGGCAATCATTTAAGTTTACCCAGAAAATACTGTAGTTTCCACACTGTTAATTTCATCATTTTAATGCCTCTTGCGTGCTTTTGGGAGCCTTTAAACATTAGTATAATCATTCGTGTTGACCAAAGACTTTCTTTTCAAATTGCTCGAAATTGGAGCAAACTTGTGGCACGTAATGCTCCAGGGAGTTGTACAATTATTCAACTATACCTAAATCAACTTTTCCAAACTGCAGTTTCTTGCTAACTTTGTTGAATCTTTCTTTGATTCTGTTCCGAATAATTATTAAAATAGGTGTATCAAGTTGTTGCTTTTTGGTCAAAGGTTTGAAGACCTCTGCTCTTGGTTGTGTTTTCTGATTGTCGTACCATCACAAATAAAGCATGTTTTTATTTGATTTTTTAAATAATTATTAATCGCTTTATAAAGAGAATAAACTTTTTTGATGGCTAAAAAAGCATTAACACGACCAGACCAACGAGTTTGTTAGAGAGTCTAGGGAACCTGGAAACGTTTTCCAGCAAGGAACTTTGACTTTAGGATGCGTTGATAGAAGGAACTTTACTTCATGACATTGATGTGTTGATGCAGAAAAGAAGATATAAATTTTTTAAAGAAAGCTGTAGAATTTAACAGCAGCTCCGTTGTATTTCGCAGTACTCACTCCTATGAGGTTCAAAAAGTACCTCATAGGAGTGAGTAGAGCACATAGAATGTATTCAATGAGAATGTTGATGTCTTTAATTCTTGATTGTAAAACAAAATTGATTCCAGACACTAGCATTTTCGTATGACTGGCCACAGCGATTTTGAATGTTGTATGCATACTAAACTAACTTTTTCAAAACGAGTTCCATAAACTACCTAACTTAGGCAGCTTTTAAATATATGAGTTCTTTGCAAACGTCTTTAGATAAATAAAAGGTACTACCCTTTCCTTTGTTTCCGTGAGTTATCAATTATTTTAGAGGAAGGGATTAAATTTCTTTATTTACCATTAAGTTTTTCAATTTTTTTTGAGTTTCTTTTTTCACCATTATGTTAGAACTCGATAGATTCTTCTAGTCGCTAAAAATTAAACGTCCAGTTAGCAATACGTCGTATATGCTGTTATTTTAAAAAATAAAAATCTCTGGCACATGAGAGGAAGTCAAAGATAGAGACCAGTAATAGTTTTTTTTCAACTTATATAGCTCTAAAAAATTCACTTTGATGCTCTGGCTCCTTAAACTTAGTGGCCTGCCGGCATTTGTCTAATGTGTCCGTTGGTTGAACCGGCACTGAAAACATAATCTTAAAGTAAAAAAAGTGAAGCAGCATCAGTCAATTTATTTTACTCTAAATTAATAATAAAAAAAAAAAGAATTCAAGAGTAAGTGTTAATCAATATTTTTACGAGTAAATATTCATTTACAGAGAAATAAAAAATACTATGATATAGGCATATTTATGTATATAAGCTTATTTTTCAACAAACCACTGACAGTTTTCATTGTTAAATAAATAAAATATATATCTAATAAAAAATAAACCTATAAAATCTAATAAAAATATTAAATAAAAAAATATAGCAAACTTACTGAAATCAGTACCAGTTCCACATAAGAATTTTTTTTATTATTAACCCTTCAAATATTATTAATAAAAAAAGAACAAAAAAGTGATCTAAAGTTACTAAAAAAAACTTCGTCTATTTCAAATTGTTTGAAAAACTAGCTTTCAGCTTTTCAGCTCCAATTGCACTAAAATATAAAACAAAAATTGCTTTGCTTAGTTGCTTGGTTTTTAAAAATCTGAAAACAGAAAAGGAAAAACCTAGAACAAACATATTTTCATTAAAACTACTATTTTTAAACAAATTAAATTAAATAAAGCTCTTTGACTTTCCTACATAAGCTGATGGAAAAACTACAAAACGTCCTTGTCAGTGATCATTTCCAATGTTGTTTACGTATTTGTGTAAGGCATCACACTGCTCGCTTCTCATTTTGTTTATGTTAATTATCTTACTAAAAATCTATAACTGTAATACTGAGATAATGTAACATGATTTCTAATCAATGCAGCACTTTCAGGGTTGCGAACCAATTGATTATACCAACCAGCCTTACCTCTTGGAAAAAATAGAGAATGTACCATTATCTCTAATTTGGCAGACACACTTAATATAGTTTTAAGAGGATGACCTCTTGGGAAAATTGCAACTTCTCTAGAAGCAGGTGGAACTCCATTTTCACCAACAAGTACAACTGTAACTTCATTATATGAAGGGAGATTATTGTGAAGTTTATCTTGCCCTTCAGGTGAAGACATTTTTACAACTGAGACTAAGCAACCTTTATAGCTGCTTGACAAACTTCTTTATCTTCCACTTCAGCCAAGTTTTTAAATGCATGAGCAAATGGGTTCTCTTCTCTAATAATAGTTTGCAGTCAAAACATTAAATCATTTAAGCAAAGATTATTACCAGGATGTTGCATTATAAATACTACCGCTTCAAATGGATGATAGATGTAGTTGACAATATGTTCGCGGAACATCTTGATCTGACCTAAGATTACCTTCATGATGAAAAACTTTACGCATATTATAAAACATAGATGCCAATGATTTATGGGTTGAACTACATTAGCTGTAAATGAATCAAAAGATAAACAGACATTATATTTTCAAATATTAAAAAATAATTATATTGGCATTTCCCTCTGAATAATTTGCTTTAAATAAATCTTGTAAATCTTTCAGAAATGGTGAAGGTTGCAATGAAACTACCATTTCATATGGCAACATGGCAAAAAGTGCGTTTCATTAGGCACCACATTGCTGACAAATATAATTCATTTTTTCTAAATAATGATATTCTGGAATAGTGGTAGTAGTAGTAGTAGGCTTATAGTGAATAAATATACATATATTATATATATTCAACTATATATATTCATATATATATATATATATATATATATATATATATATATATATATATATATATATATATATACATATATATATATATATATATATATATATATATATATATATATATATATATATATATATATATATATATATATATATATATATATATATATATATATATATATATATATAAATATATATATATATATATATATATATATATATATATATATATATACATATATATATATATATATATATATATATATATATATATATATATATATATATATATATATATATATATATATATATATATATATATATATATATATATATATATATATATATATATATATATATATATATAATACAGAGTAGTAAGCTTTTAGAGAATGATTAAAAGCAGTGAGGTCTAATAATGAAATTACCTATTTATCATTTTTAACAATAGACACTAACGTCAAGGTAAGCTAATACTAAAATACATTATTATCTATATTCAGAATAATTAATAAGAAAGGCTTAAAAACACCTTGACCTAAAGCATTAACCGTTTTACGCTAAACTCTGCTGTGTAAACCTCTGCTGTAATCAAGACCAGGGCGATAGGGGGTGTGACACATTACCACCACCATCGATGATTTTTTTGTTCATTTAGTTTGCAATTTTGACTTTTTTTGACTAGTCAGTCAGCAAATGTTGACCGTTTCCACAAGTTAATCAGTAAACTCAGAGAGTCAGTCGGCAAGTGTCGATGGGCAAATGTCGAAAAGACAGTCGGCGAATGTCGCCAAGGCAGTAGACGACTTTTAAAAAACGAGGACCTTTTTTTTTTTTTTGGTCGGAGAAAGTTGACTTGGCACCCACCCTTCCCACGTGACGCCTACTCGCATTGACCCTGGCTGTAAGGACTTGACTTGGATGGCAAGATTGACAAATCTTGCTCTACGCGTTTACCTAGTCACAGCACTTTGAAAACATGGAAACAACATAATATAAATAAATGTACCAACTTTAAACACAATATAAATATTTAACATTATATAAACATCTTTAAACACATTTATAGAACAATTATATAATACATATTAGCACATACACAAACAATGGTAGAGTTGTACTTAATTCACATGTGAATAAAACAAAGATTTATTTTTACAGTTTAAAATTAGAAGTAATCCTTTTCTATTTTATATCTAATAAAAATGTAATATTTAAATTGCTCAATTATTTTCTATACTTACTTTAATTATAATATGATCTTAACTCTGGTTATTCATTTTAATATAATTCTTTATGTATTTTTTTTAAACTAAAAAATAATATTTTAATAACTAATAAATAATATTAACATTAAATATTGCATTTTGAGAACGAGCTTTTTCAAGTTCAGAAAAGCCTAGTAACTAACTAAAACTACTTAAAAAACGAAAGAAATGACATTGAACATTGAACATTGACTGTAGCAGTAATATTAAGATTTAGCCTTTTTAACAAAACTTAAATTGTTAAAAAGGCTACTGTTATTTAAATGTTTTTTTATTTACTTACTTTAATAGTTTGATAATTCAATTTTTTTTTCTATATAAAGGTAAGTTTTTATGTAGAAAATATTTTTTTTTTTTCTATATATAGATAAAATTTATTGATTGAACAAATGAATAATATCATATAATATTTAACTTTTTAAAGAATGACATTTGACCAAATGTTCTACTTAAAAACTACTTCTTATAGTAGTTAAAAAAATAGTAATTAAATTACACGGCAAGTTTATTTCTATTTTTAATTAATTTTCTTTAACTTGTGAGATTTTTTAATAACTGAATTTTCTTTTTTTTAGTTTCATTTTTTATAATAGCTTTTTGTTTTAGATGAGTTGCTGTACCAAAGATTTTTGCAACTCTAGCGTTAGCTTAAAGGGTTTTCATTTTTGGAAATGGCTTTTGTTGATTTTATTTGTATTTTCGTTTCTGCAGTAATGATTTAAAGATTGTATTTTTTTATTTTAACTTTATCGCACTTTGTAAACAACACTTTGACGAAAATTTTAACATTCTTCACAAACTATACAAAAAAATCATTTCATAAATTATCTACAAAAATAAAAATATTTAGATTTCCCAGTGGGCACCGGATCTAAAAAAGACGACTTTTCAACGTTCAAAGACGTCCAAAACGTTTAACAGATGTCTAAAACGTGTATAAGACGTTTAAAAGACGTTTTTTTTAGTCTGTGCTTACTGGGTTAGAAATGAATAATATAATTTTGTAATAAGCATTGAAGATTTTTTTTAGTAATACTTGTAAATGTTTTGCAATATAATGTTTTTCATTTTTTTTTTAATCCGTTTTTATTATTTTGCACTTTTTCATTCTTCAAGCCTTTTTTTTTTTTTTTATTGTTTTTACATTAAATTAAAAAAAAAAAAATGGTTATTTTAACAAACCTTGACTATTTAATATAAATGCGTCCCACTGGTCTAAGGAACATTTTGCAAACTTTTTTAAAAGGTCCTAAAAAAACGCTTTTAATTGGATTTTTAAATGTCCTTTTAAAAAAGGTTAGCGGACGTTAATCTAAAAAAACTTTTTAACGTTTATGCTAGGTCTCACGAAAATACATTTTTTGCTTTTTGAAATTAAATTTAAAAGAGTGACCGGACATATTACTCAAATGCGTTAATTGAGCGTTTTTTAATAGTGTTACAAAAACGTGTTTTATTTGTGTTTTTTTATGTCAAAATAAAACATTTAAAAATTTTCATTAGTAATATGCTGTTTTCTTGTTTAACCAAGAAAAACGAGTCTAACGACAGTAGATGTTAGACTATAACAGCCGTTTTTCATGAAAGCGTTTAAGTTTGTCTTTAAAATCATATACTGAGGTTGCATTAATAAAATCTTGACCTAGGATATTCCAAGCTTCTACAATACGGTTAGTAATAAAATTATGCCTTGAAAGTAAGTTTCTTACATATTGTCTTCTTAATTTCTGATCATTCTCTCTCGTAGTATTGTTTATTCTTTCAGGTTCGTTATGCCAGTTTACTTTATCTAGGGGAAGTGGGAGCATAACCGCATATGGAGGCATAACCGCTTTTTAACATTTCCCTTTGAAAAGTGTTATCTAATATGGCAAAAAACATACCACCCATTAAACAATTAAACAGTTTCATTCATTTCGCGTATTGAAAAGAGTGCCTGATACGTTTCTGAGAACTTGTGCGTAATAATGTTTATTTAAAAAAAAAAAATGTTTTATTTAAAACATATTTTTCCAAACCTTTTTTTTGAGGATTAAGCAATATTTGATTTAAGTTTTAAAGATATTTTATATCAGCGTTGCTTTATCAAGTAAAAACCATTTCTGATATCAACATAACCTATAAGCTAGCTATGAAACTGCATACTTTCTAAAAACTGTCCTCTGGGTCAGAACCGCACAGGAGGGACAATCGTATACTTTTAATATTTATCAAAGTTATGTAATTATGAATAACAATAACTACAATTGTCACTCTTGCATTTATGTAAAAATTTTAACAAAAATAGTTTTGTTTTGAGATGTTGGAAATAAGATTTCGTACTTTTTAATTTGAATTTTTATCAATGAGTTTTTGATTAAAATATAGAGTATATCAAATGAGAAAACTCAGACTTTAAATACAAGGAATGCTTACACAGAACGCAAACGCGCAACAAAATCAGCAAATAATCTGAGCTGAGACAATTGTAAAGAAAATCTACAAAGAAATGTGTACCCCCAACAATTTTTGTGAGGGTACGGTTGTGCTTCTCAATAGGAACAAAACCGTTTTTTTCACTACGTGCAATTTTTTGAATTCTAACTTTTTCAAAATCAGTTTAATTTTTTTCTTAATTGCATCAATTTAAAACTTAATAATGCGGTTGTTAAAATAAACTGTTAAAAAAACACATTTCGTTTTTATTTTCATGTAACATTATTCCAAACGTTACAAGGGTGGTTATGCCCCCACTTCCCTTATATTGTTTTGAAATCTAAACATCTGAGTTAGATTACCTCGTAACCTTCTATCAACTAAATTTAAAAGTTCCATATTTTTAACCGTTATTCATAGTTAATACCTTTTGGGAAATAAATTTTAGTTGCTCGTTAATGGAATCTTTCTATAAGATTATTATCTTTAGCGTAGTATAAGCTCTATATGTGAAATGCATACTTTAAGTGAGGTTGCACGAGTCATATGTATAATAGTTTCTAAGTATTTTTATCAATATAGTTGAACTTTTGTTTTATTAACCGCAAATTACTTAAACTCTTAATTAAAAGGTATAAAAGTAAACCGTTTTGGTGTTAATATAACCTCAAACAGTGTTTTTTGAAACTAATTTTAGCCAAAAAGTATAATTTACACGGTTTTAGTGTAATTATACACTCTTAAGGTTAATTTTTAATATAACGGTGTAAATTAACACCTTTTTCAAATCACGACACCGTTTCAAAAAAGTGTAAAACAATGTAAAGCTGTTTTAGACCATATATATATATATATATATATATATATATATATATATATATATATATATATATATATATATATATATATATATATATATATATATATATATATATATATATATATATATATATATATATATATATATATATATATATATATATATATATATATATATACATATATATATATATATATATATATATATATATATAAATATATATATATATATATATATATATATATATATATATATATATATATATATATATATATATATATATATATATATATATATATATATATATATATATATATATATATATATATATATATATATATATATAAAGCAAAAAATAGTCAAGCCAGTAAACAAAAGTAAATCTTTTTTTCTCAGAATATTTATTACTAAAAATATTTTTTTTATTATTCCGAAAAATACACTAATAGAAAGTATTATTATATAATTGACTAAATAAACTTTAAGCACTAGAGGCCTTTCAAAAAATCATCAATAGTGCTGTTATGGTATTATAGCAAAATTTTTGTATACAAAATAAATTTAATTGCTTATTGTTGCTGTGAGAAACTATTTTGATAAATTCAATTCTAATAATAAGCAGGAAGTATCAATTAAAAGTATCATGTTTTTGTTTGTGCAGATGCTTTTCGTATGATAACAAAAAAACTTTCATTGTTAAGCTCAAGGAAAACAAAAAGTTGAAAAAAAGGTTCAATTACATTTTGGTGGCAGCGTTGACAGGTATAAACGTGGTTGTCAAATCTATTAGTTGATAGGCCAGTTCTGCTACTAGAAATATGTCCACTTATTCGTAATCTTAAATTATTAGTTTTGCCAGTATATGTGGCTTGTTTTTGCCAAACATTTAAGGTAATATATTACATTTTTGCTGTTGCATGTGATGTGACTTTTTCTTTTCCAGATAGTACCATTAGAAGTTTAAAACTCATCTACTTCTTGAAGGTAGAGTTTGGATATTTTACATCGAATGCCTTTGCATTTAAATATGCCAATCTTCTTATTATTTGTATCAAATTTTAAAGAAGTAAGTCTTCTTAATAAGTTATAGAAATATTATATTAGAAAAAACATTTTTGAATCATTTATTCTGAAATACTTTGAGTAAAAGGTTAGTTTCTGTTGTTAAAGGTTGACAATTGAGATTTCTATAGAATGTTGTCTCTAAAGGAAATATTTCTTTAGACTTCTTTTGAGACGCTGGTCCTTGTAGTTTTGCATTATGGAATGCTTTATCTATAATTACGTCAGGATATTCACAATCTTTCAACCATGACTTTAGTTCAGCTAAACGAAATTTTTCAATTTCTTATTTAGATGTAAAAACAATTATTCTTTTAGCTAAATTATAAGGAATATTCTTTTTGATGTTTAATGGATGATGGCTGTTATAGCTTAAATCGTCATAAGTGTTTGTTTCTTTATAATATATGTCTGTTTGATTTATTTTATAGTTTTCGAAAGTAATTGCAATGTATAAAAAATTAATTACACTTGCTAACCTGGCTATGGTCTGGAAAGTTGTTTTCTTATGTACTAATTTAGGTAAGTACTTACTTTTATGGATTGAACAATGTCTTCTACCTGCAACTATAATTACAAAAATTAGCAGGCCCTATTTTTATTCCAAAAAAATGTTTTCTCAAGTTGTGTAATATAGGTAATCAAATAAAGTGAAATTTTATAAAAATTTCAAAAACTATAGTTTTTTTATATGAAAATTATTAGTTTAAATTTTATTGCATAATAAATATAGTTTTTTAACTAAAAGTGAAAAAGGTGCAATTTTTCATGTTTTTTAATAAGAATTTTTTTGCTAAAATAATTTTTATAAAACAATTGTTATTTTCAAATTTTTTATAAAACTTCGCTTCTTTTGAGTACCAGGTTGACTTATTTTTGAAAAATTGTTTTTCTATAAAACATTAGGGTACCGGTAATTTTCCCAATAAACTTGCGCCCTTTAAATCTATAACAATCATTCTCATATTTTATAGTATCAATATTAATAACTATTAGCAATGTTTTGAGCCTGTAACATAAAAAAAAAAATTCTGACCCACGCTAATATATATATATATATATACATACATACATATATATATATATATATATATATATATATAATATATATATATATATATATATATATATATATATATATATATATATATATATATATATATATATATATATATATATATATATATATATATATATATATATATATATATATATATATATATATATATATTTATATATATATATATATATATATATATACATACATATATATATATATATATATATATATATATATATATATATATATATATATATATATATATATATTATATATTTATCTATATGTATATAGAAATATATATATATATATATATATATACATATATATTATATATATATATATTTATATATATATATATATATATATATAT